ATTCAACTCAAATTTAAGGTCTTAACAAGTTAAACTCAAACTCATTTAAAGCTCGTTAGGTTAACAAGCCGAGTTCCGTTCAACTAGATAAGACTCGAAAAGAGAATTTTGATATAATTTCTTATATTTTGGCTCGTTACAACTCGAGATCTGCTCGTTAAGGCTCGAGCTCGATTTCTAGCTCGTTTATTTAACGAACCGAGCTCGGATTTTTTAGTTTGTTTTAGTTAATTTTGAAAAAAGTGGTATTGTTAGTGAGATTTGAATTTATATTAAAATAATATTTAAAATAAAATAATTAAAGTTGATTTGATGTAAAAGTAAGAGGAAAATTATATGAAGTGATGGTTAGTTAAATTATGTGAATGGATGAATAGTGAATTAAAATTGATCTAATGTGTAAGAATGTTTGAGCACTATTACCTAATTATATTGATAATATTGAATAATGTGGTTGGGTTAAAGTTAAGTTAGATTTGAATTAAAAAAAGTAATTGACTAAAAATGATTGAATTTTTTTGGAATAATTTGTATCCAAGCACCCCATAAGGGATCGGCCTCAATGTCCCGTGGTGCTAAATACAATTTTATATTGTTATACTTATTAGTATTAATAAAAAGAGAGGGTTGGGAGAATATATTAGTCCTCCCCATGCCGTCCTATGTCTATATCTATATATATATATAATAAAGATAATAACTTTTTACTAAAAATAGTAGCAAAAAATTATAGGAGCATTTATTGCATATCTTATTTAGAAACTTTTTAAATATATGCATTAATTGATTTTATATACACATTTTCAAATTAGTTATGATCAATAAGATTCTTTCCTTAAATAATTTGATTAACATATGCGATAATTTTATTGATATCCATTATAGTAAAATATGGTTTGATTTTTCGTGATTAATGTTGATAATATTATTGTCAACATAAACATGAAAAAAAAGTTAAGTCTTAACCATATTACTAATTTTATTCACAAATATTGACTTTCATTCTAATATATTTATAAACAATCGTAATAAGTAAAATAATTTTCTCCTTCTAACTAATTAGGCGAAATCAAGTTGGTGAATTAATATTTTTCGATAATATTTTAACTTTTATTTAGTTATATAAAAAAAAAATTTAAACTAAAATAATTTATCATTTAAGAGATAATGATCACATCATTAAATAATTTACTAATGGCAAGACAATAAAATTAAAATATATCAACTATTCTTTACAATTTCAACATGTGATTTATTTGTATATTATTTTCAACCATGATAATTTTATAATTTTTTTATTTTTTTTTGTTTCTATAATGAATTTATTGTAATATATATATTTATATTGCATAGTATGTTAAATAAACTAATAAAGCCTTAGGATGCAAATTAAAAAAATCTCTAAATTATGTAAGGGTTTATTATTTGGCAATTTGCCAAATCAACTAGTATGAGTCCCGTGCAGTGCACGGGTAAGATATATTCATTAATATTTATAAATTAAAAATTCTTATTAAATAATATTTATAAATTAAAAATATGGAATCAATGTGCAATACAATTTCCCTATATTAATTTATGTTATATAAAGTTTAAATTGTGCAAAATTACATAAAAATGTCAATTTAAAATTAGTATACAACCCGTGTGGAGCACATACGTGATAATAAATTACATTATATTCGTTTCAAAATAAGTATCATTTCAAAATTTTTACTCAGAAAATCGCTTTGACTATATGTGATTCCAGAAAATAGTTATTTTGGTAAAATGTTATCATATATTTAAAACAAAATGTTATCATATATTTAAAATATAAAATTTATATTGTTTCATTACTTAAAACAATTTATTATTGTATAAACTATAAATAATTGACTATTTCGTTTACGAACAAGTTAATTTGACCCGTAAGTTATGAATAATTATTTTTTATTTTTAAATTTAAATAAAAATATTTTTTTTCAATATATTATATACCAAATTTAAATCATGCAACTAATAAAGGTAATAGCTGCAAATTTTGTCAATATATTATATTCCAAATTTAAATCATGCAACTAATAAAGATAATAGCTGCAATACTTGACCAAAATGATTCTGTACATTAATTTAGGCTGGATTTTTCAAATTTTGGCAAAAAATATTACTCAATAAAGTAAATACTTTAGGCGGAAAACCAAATATTTTTTTGCTGATTTTTAGTTGTTATTTCAAGTAAATATCATTGCCTCTTTATATATTAAGAGATTCTTTTTTAATTATTATGAGAATTAAATTCTAAAAAGCATGTGTGTGTATGTTGTAAATATTTATACACAATTTTTTTTTTTAAATTTCATTACATGAATTAAGAAGAAGAAGACTACTTCCATAACATTTATAAATAATATTAGTGCCATAATATGACAATAAATATTATAATAAAATAATAATTGAGTATTATATGGTGAACAAAAATAAATATAATTTTTATTTTTATTCTTATATCGATGAATAAATATATATTGTAAAATCAAATTTATATTACTATAACATGTTAGCAGAATAATATATTAATTAACATGTCAACGTTGTGGCTAAAATAAACGTCACTGGTTGAAAGAAGTGAAAAATTGATGATCCAACCCTATTGTTTTTTTTACCTAAACGTACAAGCCTTATTGAAATGACTCATTTAATATATGTGACATGTACATCGCTCGGGCTACGCACTAGTGGAATATCATAAAAAATCGATTTTAATAGATAAGAAGGATTATATTGGAGAATAAGCCTACACATGGACTAGGACACATAGCATAATGATATTGGTTAAGCCCAACTTTGGCACTAAAATACACATCCTATATAAAAGGAGCCTAAGGTATCTGAAAAATACATTATCTCTACATTCACTACTATACTCTAATACAGAGCCGGCCCTGGGGCTGGGCCAGCGGGGCGACCGCCCAGGGCCCGCAAATTATGAGGGGCACCATTTATTAAAAAAAAAAACATTTTAGTATTAATTGACTTAAAAAAATTGAGTTTTATTTTCACTTATTTTCATTATGTATATTTTTATCTTGTTTTTCTTTATGTGAAATAATCATGATAAAATTAAATAATATGGATGAATAATAAAATAAGTAATATATAAAAAATAATAGTTGTGTGTATATAATTCAATCATATTAGCGTGAAGGTGCATATTATTAATGAATCCTTGCATGTATATTATGGTGAGTTATGTGAGTTTATCCATTTCTAACAATTTATTTTTTATTTAGTTCTTATATTTTTCTTAAATGGTTATTTAGTTTTTTTTTTCAATAAATATTCTTTTTTCTTCTCGAAATTTTCAATAAAGATTCATGAAACTAGAATTGCCTATTGTGGAGTACAATTAATTTAAACTATCACTACAAAAAAAAAAAAAAATGTCATATTCCAACGAAAAATCCTACGATAATATATTTCAATGGATATTCCAATGATATAGTTTCCGTTGGAATGATTCCAACGAAATTTCCCCGTTGGAATGAGTTTTCCATTGGAATTTAGATGGAATTTGATCATTCCAGCTGCAATTATTCCGACAGTTTTTTACTGTAAGGTTCCGTTGGAATTTTTATTTTCACTCATATTTCAATTGTTGGAAAATGTACCGTTGGAATTATCAAAATCCAACTATTTCTGTTGGAATCCATTGAAAAATTCTAACGGAAATAATAGCATTTGAATATCTATTAGAAATGCCGTTGGAATTACATTGAAATAATTTTCCGTTGGAATTTTTCATTGTAATTTCATCACATTCTTATAGTGTATATGGTTAAGATTAAAGGGAGTTTGAAACTTTAGTTGTTCTATGTTCATACGTTTTTCACATACAAAATGTGAAGGTGATCAATTCCTCTTGTTATTTTTTAAGTATTTTTTTTTTTAATCTTCACTAATTTTCTATCATATGATATTTTTTTATGAATCTATTTTTTGAAATAAAAATATTACAAACTTTTTACTGCATTTGGCCCAGGGCATAAAAATCTTCAGGACCGACTCTGCTCTCATATTACACTCTTTATCTTTGGCGAGTGGTCACTTAGGCCTTGGAAGCTCGACGCCGGGAGGGGATGTTGTTCTTACAAGTATGGAGGCTGTCTGAGTTGAAAGAGTCCGGGTGAAGTCCATTTCACCAACATGTTAACGTGATGGCTAAACTAAATATTATTGATTGAAATAAGTAAGAAATTGATGATCAATTACTAATTTTTATATGTGTCCCGTGCATCGCACGGGCTATGCACTAGTGATTGAAAATGAAACTTGATTTTTATTTCTCTACTCGGTAATTTCTACACTAGAATATATATATAAAGGCTGGAGATGGAGACGGAGAGCAGCACCTGATCGAAGAATTAGCGCTACTCTAGTGTAAATCTCCAATCTGTCGAAGCACTTGAGTTGCTCTTATATATGCAATTAATCACTTTAATTCAATTCTTCAAAACTAATATATAAACAAAACAATTTTTTCATAATTTTGAGTCATAGAACAAATTAAGCCAAGATATCAAGATCAAGTAAATTGAGAAAATAATTAACAGTAGTAGTAATTAAATTTTTTTTTGGCCAAATGAAAAAAAAATGACAGAAATTAAAAAAAAAATAAAAATGGTGGTTGGTACTCTTAACCCCATGATATACCAGAAACATATTTGTCCATGCATATTTCACTACACCAAATTTCCATATAAAATCATCATCTCCGCTCCACACCTTTTCACTCACACCTCCTTCTCTCTTTTCCCTTAGGAAAAAAAAAAAGAAAAAGAGTAAAAAAAATGGAAATTTGATCGTCATTTATCTCTCTAGTTGGTTCTGATGACCTTATTGTCTAAAAAGTGATCGACCCCAACAACTACTAATCAAACTAGCTAGTCAAGGACCCTATTTCATCTACCAATTACTACCTCTATAATTTGAACTTTTTAGAAAAGGCAAAGAAAAAAAAAATGTCAAACAACATGAGCTTATCCGTTAACGGGCAATCCCAAGTCCCTCCCGGATTCCGATTCCACCCGACCGAAGAAGAGCTCCTCCGCTATTACCTCCGCAAGAAAGTCGCGTACGAAAAAATCGACCTCGACGTTATTCGTGAGGTCGATCTCAACAAGCTCGAGCCATGGGACATTCAAGGTAATTATTAATTGAGTTAATAAAAAAAAAAAAACATGACTAATTTCTTTCACCTTTGGTGATTTTTTTGAAGAAGATGATTGATAATATTGATGAGAGTTGATTCTGCAGAGAAATGCAAGATAGGTTCGACTCCGCAGAACGATTGGTACTTTTTTAGCCACAAGGACAAGAAATACCCGACCGGGACACGAACAAACCGTGCCACGGCAGCCGGTTTTTGGAAGGCCACTGGTCGGGATAAGCCCATTTATAGCACTGGAAAACGTATTGGAATGCGGAAAACTCTCGTTTTCTATAGAGGTCGAGCTCCACACGGCCAGAAATCTGATTGGATCATGCACGAATACAGATTAGACGACAACAACAGCAACAACAACAACAACAACAATATTCACGATATCTCCACCAATCGAGTGATTAATTAATCATTTTCTTTTACCATCTTCCTTTTTAAACTTTATAACTATTGAAAATTTGAACTAAATAAACAAATGGTGTAGGCTCCGGAACCAGAAGAAGGATGGGTCGTTTGTCGGGTTTTCAAGAAGAAAAACTACCACCACAAGACATCATCATCATTGGCACCGGAGCTCGACTCGCCGGAGAAAAACAATCACGGCAATAATAATAATAATAATAATAATGATAACGTCCTCGATCAAATACTAATGTGCATGGGAAAATCGTCGCCACCTTTGGAAAACCAATACCAAATAAGCGCGGAATTTATTCCCGATCCAGCTTTCGCGCACCTTCCGGGCCTCGAAAGCCCGGCTCTCAAATTATCTCCTTGCGACAGTCGGGCCGAACAAGAAATCGGGCCTGAGGTTACGGATTGGGCCGCGCTTGACCGATTGGTGGCTTCTCAGCTCAATGGGCATTCTAATTCCAAGCAGTTTTGCAGCTTTGGATCAGAAGTCGGTATCGACGGTCAGGATTTTTCTTTCTTTCAATTTGACCAACAAGATCACAAGGTACAAGAATTGGTCGGCGTGCAAAATTCCGAAAGATCGAATCATCGGATTTCAACCGATTTCTGGGGCTTTGCCAGGTCATCATCGACGTCATCGTCATCGTCCGACCCTCTCTCTCACTTGTCTATATGATAATTTTTAAGTATGCATACATATATATGAGTAGTTGGTTAATTAATAATATGCTGATACAGTTTTTTTTTTTTTTAGCTTATACTGTTTATAATACAAATTTAAATGATTTGCATACCATTATATGTGAGCATGTATACATTTATATATAGATGTTGTATATTTTGTTGTAATATTAGGAAAGTAATTAATTAATGTGGTCTGTATGACTGTTTGATATGTNCAAAAGTAACTTTCTAGCATTGATTTTCTCTCAGCGGCAACGATTGGTGTAGAAAGAGTATTTGTCGAACCCTAAATACAAGTATACACAGACTTGTGCAAAAACAAATAGGGCCAATCTGACGTTGCCAAGTGTCCCAGTCAAAAGTGATTTCATTTTAGGTGCTGCTAAATCATTTCAATGTTGACAATATGAAATAATGCAACAGTTGGTCCCCGCTGAGATCAGGGCACTGAACTTTGATATTAAAATAAATTACAACTTTTACTACAAGGATATTTGAAAAAAAAAAAATTATAGTAAAAAATAAGTGTATAAATATATTAATATTTTTATCATAAAATTATAAAAATTAATGTACAATAATAATGATTAACTAATAGAGTGTTAACTATTTAAAATGACATGCATTTTCTACTTTCAAATTTTAAAAATGATAACTATTTCAATTATATTCATAAATTATATATGGCTAACTAACACAAATATTATTTACAATCTACTAATTTATTTATTTTTTTCAAAATTCAATTGGATAAATGTGAATCATTATGAGTTGTATGTATGTTCATAGATTTTTATATATCATATAAATATTAAAATAATAACACAATAACATATGTTCTATTTATCTTTTTTTATTGTATCTTCTAGTTAATAATATTCGATCATTAAAAATATAAATTAATATTTAAGAACATGACATTACATGACTTTATATTACAAATAATAATATACTTTTATTACTTTAAAATGTTTAGTTGTTTTCAACATCATAATGACTTTCAATCATTTTTATACTTTATTTAAGTGGAGACATGAGTTTTAAAATTTTGTGCATATATATTCATTATATGTTTATACTTAATCTATGCATATATTTTTTTTAACTATCGCTATAATAATAATAATAATATAGAGAAATGCTACAGTCTCGTTACGGAACTATTCCGTCGGGATTTGTAGTCGTTAGATCATCATGTAACCGTCGTGGATAGATGATCTTACGGTTACAAATCCCGACGGAATGGTTCTGTAACGAGACCGTATAATCTCCCAATAATATATATTATTATTATTATTATTTATTTTATGGCATAATAATCTAATATTTTACTGTATCCGATAATATATAGTTCTATTTGTATTTTCTAAATTTAGTTTGACAAATAAGTTTTATTTATTTTGTAATGATAGACATAATTAATTTTAAATTTGTACACGTGATATAGATATCAAATCGAAAAATATTAAAAAGATGTTTAATTTAATAAATTATATTTAAAAGGTTGAATACAGATAAAAAAACTATTAACTTCTAAATATTATAAAAAAATATGAATTTAATAAACAAGAACAAATAATATCAATTTTATATGGTAAGATTTGATTTGATAAAGAGATAAATGAGAGAAAAATAAATGCATATCTGAAAAATACAATACTTTATTTATGTCAGATATCTAACCTGATTCCAAGACAATAATGTATATACAAACCAAATTACAAAGCAAATAATTTTGCCATGTCAGTATCCAAAGCATCATGCAAACCATCACACATCCCGTTTTGAATTAACATATATTAAGGGATTGTCACAAAAAGAAATTATTAGAAGATATAATGTTTTCTGAAAATAAATAACTTTGAAAGTAAAATTGTATTAATTTTTTCATTCTAAAATGATAATTTTCATTTACTTCTAACATGTGTATGTGCAGTTCCGTAAATTGTGCTTCATTTAATATCGGAATTTTAGAATGTGCATGAAATATCGTTTTCTTTCACCAAATTGATGGCAACCTTTTAACTTATTAACAGTAGAAATAACAAACCACACACCTCCCCTTCTGTTCAAACCCTACAATTATTGACCATCAGGCAAAATTGCTTTTCTAGTTAATCAAGTTTGGACCATTTATGAAAAGTATCCAGACAACAACCATTAATTTAGGTCTATTATTGTCTTGATAATTTGATATGGTTTAGTTCAAACTTCAAAGTATACATATGGATTTAAGAAGGAATGCTGACGTTGCATGATAATATAAGTTACCATTTCGTGGTTCTTTTAAAACTCGGAATGATAACTTAATTAAAATTATCTTGTATGATAAAATTGACTTATTAACAGGGTCGTAGCCAAGAGTAGGTTCGTTCGTGCTCTTGCCCAGTCTTAATTTTTCGTGTGTTCTGAATATATACTAATAAAAAAATGATTTAGCTCATATTATATTAATTTAGTTTATAATAAATTTATTTTGTTCAAATTTATTTATATTTATAATTTGAGCCCAAGCTTTATAGAATAAAAAGCCCATATCTATTGGACTTGGGGACACTCCCGCCTCTTGAGAAGACCTGGAAGAAAACGTGTGATTAAGCCCAATGATGGGTTAATTAAGCCCACATTTGGCTATCAACTTAGTGATGGAATAAAAAAAACAAGGGAGCCATACACATCGTCGATCAACAATATTGGTGTCTTGCTTTCTTTTTACGCATATTTATTTTATCTCGATCTATCTATATTGTGGTCGGGTTTACATCCAATTTTCAATAATCGTTGGCTGTCGACCGTCGACATACCTCATCCTCTCTGGCCTTAGATGAACCTTCAACTCGATCCATATCATGGTCGGGTTTACATCCAATTTTCCTTTCTTCTCGATTCGTATTAAACCAATTTGCCCTCTTTCTCTCCATATTCCCCAATGGAGAAACTGAATGCTGGTTAGAAACGAATTTTATCACTTTTAATTAGCAAAAATCAATGGCATTGTTATTTGCGGAAAACTTAATGTACAGCTTACCTAATGCAAAATATTGATTTGGAGTTAATTTCATCTCTTGAGTTTAGCAAAATCATTGGCTCTGTTATTTATCGAAGCTTAATGCATTGTTAAGTATTGCCAGAGCAACTTGTGGAGTTAGCTTTGATTTAAGAAGTTCACTCACAAATTTGTTCCACATCAACCTACAGTACTCTATTGTGAAAAAATGCCCTACAATGCCATGTTAATAAAAACCCAACAACAATTACACTTGGACACAAAATTTTCGATATAAAAATTTGAAATTGTGTTTTTATAATCATATACAGCAGTCTAACATAAGGGCGAATGGCTGGTTCAAAAGTATTGCCGAAATATATAGTAATTGTAGCCACCACATCTGGCATTGAACCGTGTATGCAAACGAGCAGTTCACAACAAGTACATTATTCATCCTGTTGACAACTTGACATTGTTACAGATAACATGCTGTTTAATAAGTTACAGCAGAGTAAGATGTTTGTTTTGACCCCTCCAGCTGAACATAAGTTACTGCAATATAAAGTGTAATTGTCTTAGCATAACACCAGTATTGAAACCTTCTGATCTGCAACTCGTTCGCACCGTCTTCGCCAGTGGTAGTTACATACGTCTCACGTATCTGCAAAAAAAATAGCGAGTTAGAAAAATGATGTAGCACCTAACAAGGTACACAGAAGAAAAATAAAGGTAAGACTTTCTCGTTCAGAATTGTACACAGCAGCCATATATGCTTGCACCAATGTTTATATCATGCACATGTTCTTTCTTCTCAGTTATGACAGGCAAATTCTATGGCGAAACTATTACTTTTTACTGCACAGTTTGAATAGTATCAACACTCTATTACTGGTTATAGACACCTCAGTAGAAAAGCCATCACCATTTATCATATTTTCTTCAGCAATCTTTTGCTTATGAACAATTTTGAAGATTCATCAAAATTGGCGATAATTTCATGGCATACCAAATAACTCTAATTGTTGCATGCCATGATTCAAATGTTGCTAGGAATAATAATATAATTTGTCCCGAGACAAGTAAAATCAAGACTTCACCACACATTCTGTTGTTAAGAGTTCCGGAGCTTTCTAAGCTAATAGGACTCAAGTAAGACTAGTAAAATCCTTATATTTCAGCAATCTACAAAAGATGATAAGTTAATGTAGTAAAATCCTTATATTTCAGCAGTCTACAAAAGATGATAAGTTAATGCAGCACAATTATCCTTCTGATAGTTTAAACCCTGTTGAAAAAGAGTCCATGGAAAATCCTTTGCTTGTTCCTAAAATAAACAAACAAATTTAATACTAAGGGCGGCAGTTGATGAAATAGGAAGTAGTGAACAATGGGAACTCCGAGTGGATGACAATTTAAGACCTATTCATCAAAAAAGAACAAGAAAAACAACATGCTCATGTTTCAACACCGACAAGAATGACCTGCTAATTTAGACCTTGATCCTCAAATCTCACAACGTAACATCCAAAATGCCCACAAGTTGGGAAAGAAATACATTAAAGCACCAAAACATGCCAAATGTGTCCCGAACACACCATGAAGCAGTGCTCAATGTCATCATCTTCAAATTAACACATTTACTCTTCATATAATCAAGTAAAGTCTTTCACACAGCAAATCTCTATAGGCATAAACAAATATAATCCCAAACGGAACTCTACATGCCTTTTGCATTTTCATATTCCTTCAAGAATCCAAAAACAAAAGATCATGCCAAAACAAAAAAAACGCACAGCACAATAGCATCATCAATAAGGGAACCCGAAAACAAACCTAATAAACTCAGGTGTGGCCAATCCAAACGCGCCACCTCGCACATCCCCCCAAATCCTCAGCAACAAATCGGACAAATCACTAACCCATTCTCGATACAATCGCCACACCTCAACACCACCACATTACTCTTCTTCCTCCCCATATTCAGTTCTTCTTCTTCTTTTTGTTCTTCGTGTTCTTCTGTCACAATCTTACAACTCCCGTGGCACGTGAAACAGGGCAAGAACCCCATTCCTCCGCACCCCTCGCACGCGTACCCTACTCCCCTCGATTTCGGCAGGCCCTGGAGCAATTTACCGATATACCCCTCTTCCACTATCCTCATAACTTCATCAGCTCCACCAATGTACCTCCCCTTTACAAACAGCCGTGGTGGAACAAGCTCATCACGCGTTTTCCCCTTCAGAAGCTCCCCTAGCTCGTCCCTGTAACCTCTGTCCATGGAAATGTCTCTCTCGCAGACAAAAATTCCGAGCCCACGAATGGCGGATCGAACGGCATTACAGTTCTTGAAGGTCTTCCTCACTCCTCTCAGGCTCGTGGTGTACATTACCACTTTATTCTCACCGTTGGGCGGGCAGATCGGGTCAAAACCTTCGAGGAACTCATCCAGGTCCTTGTGGGAGGAGGTCGAGCGATTCAAATCGTGAGGGACGTTGGGGCTGAGATTCTCGTCATTATCTCGCGAGACTTCCGGTCGATTGGGCTGCGGAACATAGAGACGGAAGCTTGGGGCGTGGTCGGGATCGAGGCCGGACATGAGGTCCCATGAGTTGATGGTCTCGAAGGGCTGGTACCGGAGGGAGCGGGGCTCGGAGGAGAGCGGGCTGGGGAGGAGGGAAGCGAGGGTGCGGCGCGGCTGGGGTGGCTCCGGAGACGGCGCCGGGATCGGAGGGACGGTGCTCACGGCGGCGGAATCTGGCGGCGGGTCGAGGGTGAGGAGGCCGTAGGTCGTGGAGGTGAGGGAGACGATGTGGTGGCTGAAGGCGGCGGAGCCGCCGATTTGGGAAAAGTCGTCGTCTTGGTTGAGGAAAGTGGATGAGACGCAGCCCATTTGTGTGTGCGAATCAGAAAATGCGAGTGTTTATTTTTTTTTCTGGGTAAGTTTCAGTAGCGAGGAAGAGAAGGAATAGTTTGGTTTAATTGAAGATTTGGGAGTTTTGGGTTCATTTAATTTTTTGAAATGTGGAGCTGTGAGGGTAGTAAATGCAGTGTGGCCATGGCGGTTTTAGCGCTCAAACAAAGGGGTTTGCTTTATTTTGAACGCAAAGATGCCAGTACAGACAGTGAAACACATTGGAGTTGGAGCTTTTCTTGGATTTTTCATTCTTTCTTTATTTGAAATAAAAAAAGAAAAATAGGGAAAAGGTTGATGATGGNCTGGTAGTTAGATTTCATCTTATTTAAATGATAAAGTAAAACAAAAATTTTTGTTTGTGATTTGATATAAGAGTTTTGTTTTGAAAAATTGACCAAAAATATTTTTTTTTATTAAAAAGGAGATAAGCTTGAGATTATGGTATGGGAAAAATTGTGGCAACTGTCATGATCGAGTTTTTTAGCTTTAAATTTTTTTTTTAACGTGATATGAAAATAATAAATATTTATCAGAAGTGATTATAACTAAATATATATGAGTTGATAAATATTATTTTTTATTTTAAAATATATAATAGTGATTATTTTTAAATTGGGTTAATGAGATTTGTAGAGAAAAATATAAGATGAAATAAATAATAATTTTTATAATATTTTTTATTTTATTTTAGTTTCAATGAGATATAGGGTGTGATTGGATATGAATTTGATTAGTTTTTTCGTTAACCATAGTTAATTTTGAAAAATCTGGTATGATAAGTTGTTAGGGGAAATTTAAGTTTTAAATTAAAATAATATTTAAATAAAATAATTGAAGTTGATTTGATGTACAAGTAAGAGAAAAATGACATGAAGTGATTGTTAGTTAAAATATTGAATTAAAGTTAACGTGATGTGTAAGAATGATTGATTGATATTATTTACTTATATTGATAATATTGAATATAGTAGGGTTGAGTTAAATTTTAATTTTAATTTTTTTTTTGTTAAGTTTATACTTAATCACACCTATAGTGATTAAACAAATAAATATTAAAAATAATATTTATTTAATCGTAAACAAAATTACCATCCATCAAATCTCACTTGTTCTCTGCAATGGCACTAACATAATAAAAAATAAAAACTATATATTATTGCATATTTTCATTAAAAAATATTTACATACTCATATATTTCTAACTATCCATTACTATAAATTAATATTATATCACATTAGTATGTAAAGAACTTTGAACGTTTGGATTCGAGTTGATCTACCTTCCTCGCCGGTGGATGACCTTCAATACTTGCAAAAATTCAACGGCAAAAGGGTTTTTGACGTAGAGCCTTCATGCCTAATTTAGAACGTGTATAATGAAGACGGTGAACAATAAATTGTGTGAGAGTTTTGTGAGTAAAAAGAGTATAATGTTCTGGTGGACATATCTCACTCCTTTATAGGGAGGTGTTACCTTGTTGTCCAAGATTACCCGGAGAAGCTGTCTGGTCTGTCCGAACTGCCCGTCCATGCTGCTTGAACTACCCAATTATGTTAGACCACATAGCCTTATCCACGTGTGATCCTTATCGTCGTAATATTCTTTCTTATCCATTAGTCTGACTTATTATACGATCTATTTGTGCGACTGAGCCAAATCACTCGAGATAGAATGCTGCGTAGGTTGAGCTCAAGTGTTGCCCTCCTGGTCGATCCATCGGCTAGTTACGCCTTCAGGTCGAGTTTCGACCAGGTCGCCAACGGGTCCTAACTCGACATGTTGGTGTCCATTTGAACCTGCAACGGCCTACCTATGCTTATGTTCGACCAACCAGTTTGTCTGGCCTTGCAGGCTGGTTTATCAGTTTTATTCTATCCGGTGACCTATCCCATATCACACATCAAATAAAATTATTATATTTTTCTCTTGTACCAAAGATTTTGTTGACCGCACGTGAGGATATTTCAAATTCAAATTTAAATTTATAAAAATTTCTTCAGCAAACCTCCAATAACTAGTAATAGTCGCAATCTAAATTATAAAAGTTTCTCTACAAACCTCTCGTAACTAAGTAACTAGTAGTAGATCTATAAAAGTTTCCTTAACAAACATCCAGTAACAAGCAGTAGCCACAATTTAAATTTACAAAAGTTTCTTCAACAAACATCCGGTAACTAGTAGTAGTGGCAAGTGATGATCGATCATAGAAAGTAAATAATGATGATTTCGTATTAATTAAAATAACTTTAAAAAAGCAATAAAAATGAGTGAGATTAATTTTATAAATATAAAAATTACAAAAGAAAATATAATCCCCAGTAAAATGAGAGAAATTTAGTTCTCGATTCAATTATCACCCAATCTAATCTCCAATTAATTAATTTCAACAACTTTTTCTAAATTGCTAATGAATTACCAAATCATAACTAATAACAAGCTCTGTTAATCGAATTTTTCTACATCGAAGCTCTTCAAATAAATTGACTAGTAGATAACTCAAAATAAACTCTCTAAATTTAGTGCACTATTAACATTAATTCCTATTAAAATATATTTGTCAACGCCATGGACGAGCACGTCGGACCATTCACGCTACCCTAAAAATGCACGACCTTTAGTTTACTAAAAGCGAAATGAGAACATTACGTATTAAAGTTTCAAAATACTCTACACAGCCGATCGAACTAAATCAATCACTCATAATTTGTAGAGATTAAAAACAGATATCTTGAATCAACTCATCAACAAAAATAAATACAATGTCTTAATTAATCAAAAATAGAAAAAATTTATGCAATCTATAGAGATATCGAAAGTAGAGTTTCAATATCTTTAAAATTGGATAAAATGTCGGCCTAACATAATAATAAGAAATAATTAAGGAGGAATAAAATTATTCTATTGTGTGCAAACACGGTTTTCCTCCGCGTGCATTCTTTTCCCGTCTGTCCAAGTCTTCTGTAAGTCCTCCAAAAATCATCTCCTTGACTTCTAATATGGGCTCTATGTTGTGCAACTTTGCTAGTAACCCAAGAAATTATGCCTCAGCCCACA